ACGGATGCAATGGTGATGGGAAGCATACGGAGTCAGTTTTCCCGCTTTTCTTTCCATTGTTACAAAGCAACAAGTAGCTCAACGATTAATTCTAAGTGATCGAGAAATTCTTATCTTCCCAAAGCAGGCAATCAAACAAAGAGCCTTCTGTCAACCACTTGACAGAATATTTTAACATTTGATCAAAAAAAGCCTTTCCACCCCTTCCCTTCCCCTTCCCTTCTCTTTCCTCCCTCCCCTCCCCTTCCCATCCCTCCCCTTCCCCATTTTCCCTTCCTTTCCCCTTTCTTCCTTTCCTTCCCTCCTTCTTTCCCTCCCTTTCCTTTCCTTTCCCTTCCCTTCTTTTTCTTCCCTCCCCTTCGCTTCCCCTATCTTCCCTTCCCTTCCTTTTCTCCCCTCCCCTCCTTCCCCCTATCTTCCCTCCCCTCCCTTTTCTTCCCTCCCCTTTCCTTCTTGCCTCACCATCAAGAGGCTGTGAGTTTGATCCCAGGTAGAGGCTAATATTTGGAATAGACTCTGCTGCTCCAGCAGGGGGTTGGAGTAGATGACCTCCTAGGTCCCTTCCGACTCTGCTGTTCTATGTTCTTGTCCTTTCCCCTCCCTTCATCACACACCCCCTTTGTAGTTCTTCCTCTTTACAGCTTTGAAGAATGGTGTAAAATCTGTCCGTATTTATGAACATTTAAGCTGACAGCCCAAGGCACCAGCAAACAATCCAACAACAAATAGCAGTAACAAAACACTAAAGAACCAGCTGGATGTTTATAGCCTTTTATGTGAGACATTTTAAAAAAAAAGCTGGGCTCATGGTTGATGTTTTCCAAGAGCACAGAGGGAACCACGCTCAGCGGCCTAATTAGCACGGTGTGCATAACTTGATATTGAGAGAGAGCAGAGAAGAAGTTAAGTGTACTCTCTAACCTTTTAGGGTTCGCCAGCAAAAACCTTGGGTTGGTTTGTTGGTTCAAATAGCCCTCCACCAATCAACACAAATGCCTTCTGTGTTACATAACCTACATACCAAGGAGTCAATTAATTCTCATGTCTGAGATGAAATCTCCAGGAGACCTGTAAAAGTGAGCATCTCTAAAAACTCACCTCTCCTTTCCTAGCCCTTATCATCTCAAGGCTGTTGCATCATTGCACCTCCCCTGAGTATCTCCAGAAGTAGGGAGGAAAATCCCCCCCCCCCCGGAATCCTAGAAGCGAATCTGAGAAAGGTCATTCAGGATGTGGACAGGACCTCAGCCAACACAATCCAGAGGCTAAGAACCCCCTGGATGGCCCAAGGTCCATCTGATCTAGCCTTGAGCTGCTTATTGTACTCAACCAGATGTATAAAGACAATGAGCGTCCCAAATCCGACAAAGTATACTGTAGGCCTGTGGTGGTGAACCTATGGCACTCACATCATTGCTCCAACTCAGTTCCACCTTGCATGTATGCCTGCCTCCCGCCGGCCAGCTGGCCTTTGGGTCTCTGCTGTGCATGCGTGGGGCTGTGCACGCATGTGGAGGTGAGTGCACGTGCAGGGGGCATGCATATGCATGGGGCAGTGGGCCTTGCATTTGGGGTATGTGCGCACATGCACATGCTTTGGGTACTCAGGGCCCAAAAGGTTCGCCATCGCTGCTCTAGGCAGTCTCGGGGTTAAGAACATCTGAATTATGGACAGCTCACATTTTCAAATAGGCTGCCTATTACTAAAAATGGCGGATGGGGTTGTCCTTCCTCAGGGGTGGGATTCAAATTTTTTTAACAACCGGTTCTGTGAGTGTGGTTTAGGTGGTAGGTGTGGCTTGGTGTTCATGTGACTGGGTGGACGTGGCTCGGTGGTCATGTTATTGGCTGGGCATGGCCAACTCAATATCGCTCACATCGAGGCACGCATCTCCTCCCCTGGCCTCTCATGACTGTGGAGAAGCTGCAACAGTCGTAAGTGTGAAAATTGGTCATAAGTCACTTTTTTCAGTGCCATTGTAACTTTGAATGGTCACTCCACACAAGCAAAGGACCAGCAAAGGAGGGAAAATAACTCCAGAGAAGTTCCTGAGACAGGAAGTCTAGTCCTGCCAAGAATGTAATAAGGGTCAACGGAGAGGCAGTTTCTGTAAGCAACACCAGAATGTTTCCTTCCTGCCTTCCTTACAGGATTAGGCCAGTCATATTTCTCCAAACTGCTTAGAATGTTAACAATCGGTTCTAGCGAATAGGTGTGAACTGGTAGAATCCCACCCCTGTCCTTCCTAGAGCCAACAAACTGCCAAAGCCAAGCAAAGCTTGGATGAACCTCTGAAGCCACACATTTTGAGGACACAGTTCTGTTTTCAGCAGGTTTCAGCATTTCCTGAAAGTATGGCGGGGCTCAAGGAAGGATGACACCACCTGCCATTTTGAGCACACGCAGTCTGTTTGTAAGTATGAATTCCGACCAGTGGTGGGATTTAAATTTTCCTACTACTGGTTCTGTAGCTTGGTGGGCATGGCAGGGAAAGGATACTGTAAAATCTCAATTCCCACCTGCTCTGGGGGGAAGGTTACTACAAAATCCCATTCTCTCCCCACCCCACTAACCTGCTTTCCAGCTCCTTTGTCCTGTTCAGGGCAACCAAAGGAGACCCAGCCGATCAGTTGGGACTCAATGGGAGGCAGAGAAGAGATGGGGTTGGTGGGGCCAGTCAGAGGTGGTACTTGCCGGTTCTCTGAACTACTCAAAATTTCCACTATCGGTTCTCCAGAAATGGTCAGTACCTGCTGAATATCATCTCTGGTTCTGACTGACATACAAATTTGAGTTAAAGGCCCAGTTAGGAAAGGAACTCATTCCTAATTCAGGATCTTCCTGTGCCTTTCTCTGCACCTCGTGACAGCCCCTTTATCAAGTTTCAAAGAAGTTCACGACATTGGGATCACAAGGTGACACTGTGCAACGTTTGCACTGAAGGTGTGGCCAATGGGATTCAGGAAGGGGAGGAAACTGGAGGTCTGGAACTCTAGCCAAGCTAGCAAGATCTCCCGACATTTACTAAAGAGCTAAAGGAAGGATTCACAGGAGAATGAAGCCAGGCGCGCGGTAACTATTATTAGTTTGAACAAATGCTATCCCTTTAAATTTCTCATTTAGCTTTTCCGGGAGCTCCTTGCTCAGGGGTAAGAAAGGATCTGTGCAATCAGCTCCACTCAACGAAGTATTGTTCTCTCACCTTTGAGAGCCAGAGTGCAAAATGCACCAAATGTCTCTCCTGTCTCACTTATGATAGTTACAGTGTCTTTGTATTTCTGAGTTCACATCTTTCTTAAAAAAAAAACCCTGCATAATTGCTCTCTCTTAACACATATAGCACTCTGTGTCCCTTTGAACAAGGTGGCATTAAATCACCTCCGCAGACTTTTCAGAAGCTGAAGAGTTCCATCCTCGACTTTTCCCCCCAACCCTAGTTAGATAATCACGTTTGAAAATGGCCAATTAAGATCCTACATAATTCACTAATTTGGCTTTCGGCGGAGTGAAATGATCTCCTGGACTGACATGGGAACCCTGGAGGGAGATTAAGGGGTGTGCATAAGTGCACCATCGTGCCTCCAGTCCCTGTCCCGTTGTCCCCATTTATTCGTACCTATTTCCTGTATTCTTACTCATGTTTATACTTATAGCTATTATCTTGTAAGCAATTGACAAATCAAATCAATCAATCAATCAAGGATGGAAGCCCAATTTCAACTCAGGTGCTTGAGCAGTTGAAGTCTACCTTCCCTTGCATTTAATTCCTCCCTCAACCTGGAAAAAAACCACTCACAGACCTCACCAGCTTACTCAACGACATGCCTTTCTAGCGATTACGTATCCAGTCCAAACTGAAGAAGAGAACCCGAGAAGCATCTTGGATGAGAAACGAAACGTTTTGAATAAAATAAACAAACCAAGAAAGTCCAGTTGCCTTTTGGAAAAAAAAAAAAAAAGCACCTTGTCAGACCTGGCACCCCTTAAAATCTCTTAAACGAAGCACCAGCAAATGTGAGGTGGCAGCTGTCACCTCTTTGGGACAAGCATGGTCTGATGATTGAGAGCCTCCAGAGATATTTATCAAGTCCCAAGTCGCAATCGGAACCAACAAAAAGAATCCAACCATCCGAACAGATCGTAAAGTAAATGAGAAATGCCATGCTTACCAACCAGTGCTTCCTGCGTAGAGGGGAGGTGTCAAATGTTAATGCTTCCCATATCAAAACTAACTCCATACATATGGAACACCTGACCATCTAAAAATATCTCCCCCCAACTCCAGTATTCTCAAGACAGGTCGGTCTATAATTACCAGGCAGGTAGCAATTAAGGGAGTCATAGTTTAACATAGGCTGTCACACTCAAGGCCCATGGGCTGGCCTGCGATGTGGTCAGATCAGGCCACAGGGCCATCCTGAAAAATGTAAGGAGTCAGCCGGCATTGTTTCAGCCCAGTCTACCCAATGTGAAAAGGAAACATCAGGCCAACGTACCAGCTGGAAACAGGCCAGCAGTTTGGAGAGTGGTGTCAAGCTGGCCGCGCCCACCCAGTCAGCCACGCCTGGCTGCCGTGCTTCCTCCCCCCGCCGAGGTCAACCACAGCCCTGATATGGCCCTCAATGAAATTGAGTCTGACACCTCTGGTTTAACGCAACGTTTCTCAATCTTAGGAGCTTGGAGATATGTGGACTTCAAGTCCTAGAATTATTGGGAGACGTCTGGGGAGTTGGGGAATTCTGGAAGTTTGAAGATCCCACATCACTGAGTTGCTGAAGCACTGCTCTAATGTATCTAGAGAGCACAAGGTGGAGAAAGATAGATACAGGAGGAGACAGATTTAGGAATGTCCCTACCATAACTATTTGGTGAACATTACATCCCAAGGGATGGCTTTTAAATAAACCGAAAGAAACTACTTCATGAAAGAAAACAACATGCAATTCTGGTAGACATCTAAGATAGCCTTAAAGTCTTTAGCAATGGCTGGCTTACTCACCCGAGCGATCAGTTCTCCAACCATGCCAGTCCACGTTCCGTTGGCCTCAGGAACTCCATACACTCCATCTCCCACCAGGTGGATCTTGTAGTTGAAGCGCAAAATATCCGCGAGCTCCTTGAGCATGTCCACGCAGAAGCCCTCGTAGCGGTCGTTCCCTTCCAAATCTTGATGGTTGCCCTTGAGCATTAAGTAAGGGTTTTCCTGCATCGAAACTGGGCAGCTGTCATTCTCATCTTAGCCACGGAGTTGCAACAGCACTGGATTCAGCACAAATCGGAAAGCAGGGGCGGGTGATATGAGGGACTCATTGGGAATTTCTGGGAAGGGGAACAAATCTCGGGGATAGAGTTACACCAGGCTTTCAAGTTATCTGGAGGATGCAGTAAGAGCTAGCTAGATCCAAAGGAACAGATGTTCCCAGGTTTGGCAGACAGACAACGATCTCGTTCTAGGCAAGCGACAGTCTTGTCAGAAAAGTGGGAGTTTGTGGGTCATAAATGTCACCTGGCATACGGGGGACAATATGGTAGGGTGCAATACGAACTAGGGATAAGATGCACAGCTCCAGCAAGCAGGTGGTATTGAAGGATGTTTGACAAATGCTCTACTAGCACAGCACTAAAGAGGAGAAAGGGTATCTCCAAATGGCCCTGATAGTTTAGCCAGCATGATGATGCTCTGGAGTGGCCATAGAGCAATACTTGAGAACCAGACACTTCTATTCCTTGAATAGTAGCATCATTGCTACTGTGGGGCATCTTGGCACTTGCTCCTAGTTGAAGAAACTTCACAGGAAAGCCAATCATTTCCCCTGGGTATAATTCCGACAGGCAATAACTTAGCTGATGGAATTGCTCGTAAGTTGCCCAGAGTTGCTCTAGGAGGCCATATAAATTTCCCAAATAAATGAATAAATGGAAGAACCGAGCTTGCTAATCTGGGAAAGATGTCAGTCAGAATGCAAACTACTGCTGGGCTTAATTCTCCATGGATGGAAATCCATACTTTGGAGAACTTAGAAATAGTGGACAACTGAAGAGACCAAAAAAAAAAAAAAAACACCCACTTGGCCACAATGGGAAATGAGCAAAGTTGTTTTTGATATCATGAAAACATCTCCTTAGGTTATCCAAGGTCACTCAGATTACATAATCCTTACTACAACAAGATGTCCTAGACAAATGGAAGGTGACTTCTCCATCTTTATCACTAAACTTGATCTAATCCAAATCATATTGGAGAAGTATGGAAAAGTGAGATGTAGATGGTTCCCATTTCAAGTTACATTCTTGCTCATACTGGATGTATCAAAAATAGATTTCTGCACAACAAAGCAATGAAAAACGAAATAACTTCTGCACATTAACAATTAGATTGTATGTTCCTTCAAGAGTTTCATAAATAGTCCTATGCATTAAATGATAGCATGCTGAACACTTTTCCCCAAACTGGTGTGCTCCAGAGGTGCTAGGATTACAACTTTCAGTGTTCCCGGTTAGCAGTCTGGTTCTTGCAAGCCTAACAGGTCTACGAGGCCACCAAGTTGGGGGGAAAAGCTGGTATAGAGGACAATGAGAGGCCACATTTCAACTGCCTGAGAAGAAAAGGGTCCTTCTGACCCTCCATGCTTACCAGGATGGTAGTGACAAGAAGCGTGGTGTTGAAGAGGCTCTCTGACATGTTGGTTGAGAAGATCTGGTTATCCATCGAAAGGCCTTTTGTAACATGCCAGTGACCGATCTACAAAGAGGAAGAGAAAAACAGTGAGTTATCAAAATAGGTCTGCTTCTGCCATATGAGCAGTCTGGCTGACCATACGGCCAATTCTGCAAAATGCAGCAGTCAATGCTTTGTTGACCTTACAATACATCCCACCGACATTATGTTGGAGAACTCAGCTATAGTTGGGCCTTATCAAGCTTTGTCATAACCCCATTTTAAAAAAATATATATCTGGGGATTGTTCCAAGTGTTCCACCATATAGAAACCCTTATGCTTAGGATAAAAGGAAGCATCTTGGAACATAACAGAATAACAGTTGGAAGGGACATTGTCTAGGCCATCCAGATTGGACAAATGGTATCCAATCTCTTCTTCTTTCTTTTTAACATTTTATTGAACAAATTGTTTAAAAACACTGGACACGTTGAAATTGTTTTTGTCTTACATCTTATAATATATATCTTATATACATTTATACATATTGTACCTTTATGCATTTAATTTTCCTTCATTACATCATCCACCATCTCAATTAGAGCTTAATCACATAATCTTGGATATCCCTTCTACAGATCCTATTCCTCTTTTTTATTTTGAGCCCTTCCTTTCTGTTCCCACCAATGATCAAATTTGTTCCAAATCTTGTAATATTCTGACTCAGCCTTGTCTTTCATTTCTAGAGTCAGTTTGTCCATTTCAGCACATGTCAAAATCTTGTTTATCACCTCATCCTTATTAGGAGCTTCTCTATCATTTCCGGCAAGCATCATTCTTGCTGCCATAATCACATGGATTCTTAAAATAGGTCTCTTCTTTGCTATGTTTCTGTCATAATTCCCAATAAGAAGAATTCTGGTTTATAGACTATTTTAAATCCCAGCATCTCCTTTAGCCACGTCAAAATCATGCCAAAACTTCTGTGATTTTTTTACAGGCCCACCATGTATGATAATATGTACCCCATTTTTGCATACATAATTCTTCCAGCAATTTGGGGACTGATTTTTATATATTTTAGCCAGTCTTGCTGGCGGGAGATGCCAACTGATAAAACATCTTGTACAGGTTGTGTCCAATCTCTTCTTAAAAACTGCCAATGTTGGAGCACCCACAATTTCTGGAGGTAAGTCATTCCACTGAGTAATTGTTCTCACTCTCAGGAAATTCCTCCTTAGTTCTAGGTTGGATTTCTCCTTGATTAATTTCCATCCATAGTCCTGCCTTCAGGTGCTTTGGAGAATAACTTGACTCCCTCTCTTCTTTGTGGCACCTCCATAGATATTGGAACACTGATATCATATCACCCCTTCTTTTCATAAAACTAGACCTACCCAATCCCTGCAACCGTTCTTTAAACTTTTTAGCCTGTAATCACCTTTATTGCTCTTCTCTGCACTCTTTCTAGAGTTTCAACATCTTTTTTCAATGGAAGCATTGAGATCAGTGTAAGAAGCATGTAAGGAGCATGAAACATTGCCCCTGATGTGAGGTTGGCCCCAACTCTCCTCTCTTTTCATAAGGGCCTAAAGAGCTGGCTCTGCCAGTTGGTTTGGGGCCCCAGTGAAGGAACAACACAATGGATGTGGTTGATCGAGTAACAACATATCCCATCTCCCTACTTCGCCCCAGCCCTCCCCATGTGTTCTTCAGTTGTAATGTTTGTTTTTAATTATTTATGTTTTAATATGTATACTGTACTTCTCGGAAAATAAGACTGGGTCTTATATTAATTTTTGGTCCAAAAAGATGTATTAGGGCTTATTTTTGGGTTAGTTCTTATTTTCTGGAAAACACGGACATATTTTTAATGAGTATAAGCTGTCCAGGGTTACCCTACGGTAAGATGGATGGCCAATAAATTTTATACATGAAATAAATAAACATACCTCTAAGCAAAGATTAGCTTTTCAGCTCCTCAACTGCCAAGGTGTACCCTAGTAAGATGCTTTGTTATAAAAGCACATTTTCCACGGTTCTCTTTGGTTACTAATGACTGTAGCCTCCTTTCTTCTATAATTGCTTCCAAGAGATTAATTAACCCTTTGTTAATGATATCACTCAAGCTAATCAACCCCAATCGTGCCAATAGCCAGTCTAAGCCATTTCTATCTTGGCTTCTGTTTTGTTCTTCTTCTAACTAATTTACACTCTCTGGTGGAGAGTGGAACGGAGCCATAAATCCTTTCTGATACACTGTTTTTGTGGGTTGTCATTTTTTTTCAACCCACAAGATTGAGAAGTCCTGAGTTTCCAATGCTACCAATTTCGGAGACCCGGTTTTAAGACTGACCTTTTTGCTTTATAGGTGACCCAGATGGACCCTGCTAAGATGCAACAGATAGGAGACAAGACATGAGATCATTTTGCAAAGACAACCTTCAAAGAACCCCCAAATTGCTAATGATACTTGCTGGAGCTTCCACCCCCCTGAAGAATGAAAAGGGTTGTGTTTATTTATTTATTTTGCCTTACAGCTGTCAGCCCACTACAGCAAAATGGAGATGCCCAATTTTTCCATATATTCAGTACTTCACATCTTATTCTCTCTCCAAGCGCTATGGATATTATGGTGGAGTTCAGTCTTGATATCGTCCATTCTCTTTAAGCACATCAATTTATCAAGTTGTGTAACTTTCATTGTGAGATCAAAGACAGACAGAGAAGCAATTTAGGATGACCACTATGGGAAGACCTATAGGATGAGAACGAAGGAGTACGGCACTCGTCAACAAGTTGAAATTTGCTTTCTTCGGCTGGTGCAAACATCTTAACAAAATCGCTCTTTTAACAACTCGAAATCCCACTTTGGCTGATACAATAATCAGTTTAAGTGGATTTTTAAACTCAATTAACTGAACAAGTAATGAGGATATTAAGACTCTGGTCTGGCGAGATTAGATTAGTGTTACCTATGTTGGAACAAAGTTTTTGGAGAACCAAAGAGATTTCTCTCCAACTGCGTTGTGGATCTCATTCCTTTTCATTTCTTGAAAAAATGAGAAAGGTGATACAGAATTGAAGTCCAATCACATACAATTAAGTTTTCTTGAAAGGCTAAAATTGTGGTCATAACTCGTGAAGTACTTTTATTGGCTTCCTGATTTAAAGTTTGTAAGTTGAGTTTTCTGCACTTTACCCCTGCTGTTTGATTAGCTGTTTTATTCTTTCTTTTCCTCCCCATAGTGGTTTAGCTCTGTTATTAATGTGTTTTATCTGTCAGATATCTTGGACGCTATTTATATTGGAAGTCATTGTGCAAGAAATTATGTAAAATGAATGTTTCCATGCATGCCTGTTCTCGGTGCTTGGCGGGAGGGGAAAAACATCAATTAAGTGGGATTTATAAAGGGCACAATCTTATAATATTGGTTTTAGTAGCTATGCAGCGGTGCTCAACCATGGCGACGTTAAGACTTCTGGACTTCAACTCCCAGAATTCTCCAGCCAGCATTGGCCAACCTGGGCCACCCCTGACCTACACAATATTACTAAGAGATCCTACAGTGTCTTCTCAGTAACTTTTACACATTCTGCACGGTAGATTAACGTTAGAGTCGAGACCCTGCAGTTGCCTCTTCATAGATTAAGACGCCTAACTACAATGTAATATCCCTCGCCTGTGGCTATACTGCCCCTTGGTCACAGAGCCTTTCTTTCTGGCCCCTGCCCCTCTTTCCCCCAGCCATTTAAAAACAGATTCGCTTTAATTTTGACAGCCCTCTTAAGTCCATAATTTGTACTTTCCCTGCTGGTCTGCCCAAATTAATTGACTATCGTGGCGGCCTCCTCTGACCCTTGCTTGTGCAATTACCATTGCTAAATACATCTGTGCTAAATACATCTGTGCCTCAAGGTTATCCCATAATGGTCTGGGCTGGTGCTGGCTTGAGGCTCCTTCTCTCAGTGACAACGGCATGGCAATATTCCTAGTAGAGCTCCTTCCCCGCCTTCTGTGGCTGAAGGTGAAAGTGTCCAAGAACATAATAGCATACAATTTTTCTCTCTCTTCCTCTCTGTCCCTCCTTCTCTGTCCCAATTTTTCTGTCTCTCCCTCTTTCCCTCTCTCTCTCCATGTCTCCACCTCTCTCCTTCCCTCCCTTTTCTCTCTCTCTCTTTCTCCCTCCCTCCCTCCCTCCCTCCCTCTTTCTTTCTCTCTTTCTCCCCTTTCTCCCTCCTTTACTTTCTCTCTTCTCCCTCTTTCTTTCTTTCTTTCTTTCTTTCTTTCTTTCTTTCTTTCTTTCTTTCTTTCTCTTCTCTCTCCCCCCTCTCTTTTCCTGTGTCTTCTGAACATTAAAGCATAGAATTTCCCTCCCTCTCCTTCACTCTCTTCCCTCTTCCCCTCCCACTCCTTTTTTCTCTCCCCCTCTCCTCCTCTTCTCTCCCCTCCTTCTCCCTTCCTCCCTCTCTTTCTCCTCCCTATCTCTCCACTCTCTATCTCTTTCCCCCCCTCTCCCTCCCCTCTCTTCCTATGTCTCTTGTGAAGACATCCAAGAACATTAAAGCATAAAACTTCTCTCCCTTCCTCCCTTTCTCTCCCTCTTTCCCTCCCTCCCTCCTTCTCTCCCTCCCCCTGCCTCTCTCTTTCCCTCCCCCCCTTTCTCTCTCACCATCTTCCTGATAGTGAAGTATTATTCTCCCTGCCCACATCACTGCCCCCACCCCAATAAGGAAGCATCTAAATCAAGTAAAAAACGGGAGAGGTATAAAAATCATACATCCAGAGAAGGAAGAGTGGCGATCATCATTTTAACCTCACAGTTATTATTTCCCTTTGGATCAAAACATGCATTCCTGTCAGGGGAGGAAGATTTAACCAGGAGGAGGTTAACAGTTTTGCCCTGTGCTGTGGTTCCAGTTGGACCAGATGGTGGTATTCAATTTTTTTTTTTTTACTACTGGTTCTGTAGGCATGGCTTGGTGGGCATGGCTTGGTGGGCGTGGCTTGGTGGGCGTGGCAGGGGAAGATTACTGCAAAATCCCCATTCCCTCCCCACCCCACTAACCTGCTTTCCAGCTC